CCGCCGTGCAGCAGCATTCCGCCAGCCAGCAGCACAGCGCCGCCGCCGCCGGGGCCACCATCTCCGCCTCCGCCGCCACGCCCATGACACAGATCCCCCTGTCTCAGCCCATACAGATTGCACAGGTGAGTGTGGAGCGCCGGCCCGCGGGCAGCAGGTGAGGAGTAGAGGGCAGGCTGCATCTCAGACTCAGTGTCCTTTCTGACTGGGGAGCTCCAGGTCAGTGAGGTAAGTGTGCCCTCCCTCACCAATGAGTTAGATAGAATACCTCCATTTGCGTATGGAGGTTGATATAACAACAGAGCTGATTATTTAGCTGTTTATATTCGGTGACAGTTCTTGGATAACTGGCTAGTATATTTCTGAAGCAGGGGATTACCGTATGTACTTTAATTAGCTGTGACAGCAGGCATGGGTTCTTCCGCGTGCTCTGCAGTGACCGTTGCCACCCGTGCGTGAGAGGCCGCGAGTCATCTCCTTGCCGCGTAGGGATGGCATTGAGTGGAGCTGCGTTTGCTTTTGGTCTTCATGGTTTAGGGCGAAGCATCCCAAAATAAGAAAAATATATTTAAGATGCACAGACCATACAGTACCAAGGAGGAAAATAAATGAAATCTTTCCTTTTTCTCAAAAGGAGGATAAAGGTAAACGTACTTCTATCAGTACAATATATGAAGTCCTTATGATTGTCGTGCTAGACACCTGTCTTTACCCCGAAATACTCAGATGGGCTTAAACTATACCAAGAGTGTGAGTAGACGTGAAAAGAACTCCTAAGGAGAAGGGTAAAGGACCCATGAGGATAAAGAGTAGATGTCAGACTCACTTTTATTGCTATTATTTAGAGTCTTTTTTAAAAAAAGAATTGATTTATTTAACTTCATTTATTTATTTACTTATTTTGACCAGAGAGGGACAGAGCGAGAGAGGGGAAAGTGAGAAAGAAGCCACCAGTTCTGGGACTCGAACCATGGTCTGCCATGTGGGAGTCCAGTGCCCTTAACCACCATGCCACCTGCTGGCTCCTATAGAGTTTATCCAGATAACGTTTTGGCTTTTATTACTTTCTTCATCTTCTAATAAGTGTGCTTAGTGCCCGTGTGCTGAGGCCCTGTGTTGACATCAGTGTAAATAAGATATTGTACGTGAAAGTGCTTTGACAATGGTAAGACATGAGACCAGTGTCAGGTGCTGTGTTATGTTATGGATCAGATTTTAAATTTATTGGTAGAAATTCAGACATAACTCTCTAATTTTTTGTTTAACAAGAGGAAAATCAAATGTTTACAGACTCTTCTCACTTGATTTTTAAAACTCATACAGATCTTTATATGTTAAAAAATACAACTTTTACCTTTTGTTCTGAGATATTTTAAATAACTACTGGAAATTGAGCTCAGTGTAAGCCACGGCACAATACAGTTCATGGCCACAGACATAGTTAAGGCTCGTAGAGGCTCCAGGTCTCTTCACGCACTCTGGGAACGTACCCTGTGGGAAATACCGAAGGACGCTCCATAGCGACTCTGCTTGGGTGTGACAGAGGCCATCAGTTGGGAACCTCATGATTAAACAAGCTTCCAATCCATGTTTTCATTTTGACTTTCCAGGATCTTCAGCAGCTGCAGCAGCTTCAGCAGCAGAACCTCAACCTGCAGCAGTTTGTGTTGGTGCACCCGACCACCAACCTGCAGCCAGCACAGTTCATCATCTCACAGACGCCCCAGGGCCAGCAGGGTGAGCGCCTCCACGGCATGCGGGCTTGCTGGGCCATGCACAGCGACTACCACTGTGTCCACCCTCACACTTGATTCGAGCTGCCTCCTTCATCAGCAAATACATTTTTTTTTTTTTTTTTTTTTTTTTTTTTTTATAGAAACCATTGGTTCACCAGACAAAGCTATAGAACACATGTGCTCACCAGAGAAAGACAGAGAGAGGGAGAGTGAGAAAGCAAGCTGCCAGGTCCAGGTCTTGAACTACAGTTGACCATGTGGGAGTCCAGTGCCTTAACCACCACACCAACAATACATTTGGTGTTGGCCCCCAAATAAATGTTTTCAGTGCCCCAGCTGTGAGATCCTGTGTTGATGTTAGTTCAAATAAGATAATGTACATAAAAGCACTTTGAAAATTTCAAAACACCAGGCCACATGAAGTGCTATTGTTATGTTAGAATTATATTTTTATTGAATTTTTCCTTGATTTTAAACTATTGATATTCACATTAAGAAAAATATTTTCGGTCACATATACCACATTATTTTATCAGTTAACCACTAAAGAAGAACCACACATTTGGCTAAAAGTCTGAATGAAACCATTCGACATACTGAACATAAATTGGATAAATTGCTTCTAATGTTTGGATAGTTTTTGGATAGTTGAATGTATTCAGAGAATATGTACTAAACATTAAAGGTATATTCTTCTACCAATCATTTGTTTTCTTTTAGAGTTTGAGAAAGAGAAAGTGTTGTATTAGAAGCTATATAGACTTTGTGTGTTGCAAAAGATCTTGAAGCCTGGGACCAGCAGTTGACATAATGGCTATGTTGCTGGACTCCCATGTAGCCTACCACCATTCCAGTCCTGGACCCAGTGGCTTAAACTCACACTGGGCGCATGTGTGTGTGTGCCCAAGATCTCGAGAGGAGAATGGAGGAGAAGGGATCGTGGCTTGGCCATCCCCCCCAGGGGGTGATTTCTCGCTTTCTGTCTGTCTCAATCTGTCTTTCTGGTGAGCGCACGCACTCTATAGCAAAAACCTCTCAAAAAAAAAGAATCTTGAAGCCTTTGAGTGGTAAATACTGTGTAGTTTCTGTGTCAAGCAATAGTGAAATTTGATCATATTTGTCAAGTCGGGCATTGAGGGTAGAGTATAATGATACCAAGGAATACTAGCACCTACTGATTCTTCATTGTTTCTAGGAGGGAGCCTTTTTGGCCTTTGTCTTCTTGATTTTTTAGTCTAAAAAATTTCTTGTAGAAATACCTGTCCCAGCATATGTCTAAGGCTGAAAGAGGAGTGAGTCCACTTCAGCTTGCACAGAGCTCACAGCCCGGTGGCAGAGAAGCCGGCGTACTTGGTGGTGGTGGTGGTCTCCCCTACGCAGAGCACTGTGGGAGCCAGGCGACGCCCTGTACCTCTGTGAGCAGAGCAGTGTCCGTAGTGCTTTGGGAGAGTGCACTCGTAGCCTGCGGAGGAGAGAGGGAGGTCGGTCTTAGAAAACGCATGGCATGTGCAAAGCTCATAGGCACAGAGGAAAGATCAGTAAGCTGTGTTTGAGAACTGGAAGTAGTAACCAAAGACTGGAGTGTGAGTTGCACGTGTGGATAATAGTGAAACTGGAAACCAGAAAGAGTGGAGAGCAGATCACTCAAGAGCCTTACAGTGTGGCCCCGAATCCTACAACTTAATGGTTCACAAGGTTCAGTTCACTTAAGAACTGAGGAGAGCTAGCAGGTGGCATGGTGGTTCAGGCATTTGGACTCTCATGTGGCTGACTCGTTTGAATCTCTTACCTGACAACGTGCTTTCTCACTTTCTCTCTCTCTCTCACTAGACATATATCAAGTTAAAAAGAAGAATTATAAATAAAATGAAATAACTAATTGTTAAAAAAAAAAAGTCACTTGAAGAATTTAGAAAAATATGTTCCTGAACCATGCTCCCCAAATTTTAACCAGCATTTTGACAATTCTAATGCGAATGACCCAGTACCTTCTAATAAGTAGTACCAAAAAAGGTTTAACAGAAAAGTGACCTATCCATGTTTAGGTTTAAGAAAGTCGATGCTGAAACCTGGGGAGGAAAAGTTAGAAGGGATAAGAATAGAGTAACAGTGGGTAGGAGATTGTGGCAATCCTACTGAGGTTGACGAGGACTGAGCTGTGGTTCTGGTGGCCAGTTAGATTTGTTTTAGTGATTGGGAAGAGGCATCTAGGTATTCCTGAGTTACTAGGAAACTGAGGGTTGATGGGGTCACTCAGAGAAAATATCCATGCAGTGTTCAGAGAACCCTGCTGAAACCGGCCCTCTAGGTGTAGAAGTAAGTGGAGTCAGAAGGGGAGGCTGTGCTTTCAGAGGTCAGAACTAGCAGACAGTGTGCTGACAGTGGAAGAGAATTCAGCAGGGACGGAGAGAGGGACCGAATTCAGAGACTAAGGGAGGGAAGGCTGAAGTGTGTGTTAGGTTTGGAAAGTGGGGTTGACCATTCACTCTGAATAGGTTTAGTGTTTGCAAAGGAGTCTCATGTTCCGAACCTTTCTCCCTGCCCTCAACCTTCTACACGATTAGGAAAATGCACAAGGAGTGGAACACCGACTGGCTCAGAGTCGGCGACCTTGGACAGGTCACCCCCCAACCTTCCTCAGTTTTACACTCCTTCCCTCTCATCTTTCCCTTTACCTTTATGGGTGAGTCACAGCACATGTTTAGTTACCGTCAGGGAGATCGTGATCCAGAGTGAAGAGAGCCTAAGGTCTCCCTGAGTCTCGGCTCAGCCCCTCCTCTGTTCGCCTTTGGGAGAGGTAACGTTACTGTCCTGTGCCTCAGTTTCCTCATCTGTAACGCGCGGACACTTTTAGTGTTCACCTCGAGGAGGTCAGGGTTACATGAGCATATCCACGTAAAACCCACTTAGAAAAGGGTATAGTAACCGTTAAATTGTTGCTGCCATTAGCATGGTATCAGTTAATCATCATTTGTTACTTTCTTCTTGTCTTTTCTTTTTTTAAACTTAAGTTATTTCTTCCATGAGAGACACAGACAAGCACTTCCAACAGGCTCCTCACATAGTGACCCACCTCGTATCTCAGCCAACCTGCGTCACAGGCACACACATGTGGTCCCAGCATGATCAGGGAAGTCCCAACACACGAACCCTGGTCCCTTTCCATGTGGCCCAGTTGTGTTACCACTGTGCCACCACCTGGCCTCGCTTGTTCCTTTGTATAGTAAAAAAAAAGAAGAAAGAAACTGCTTGGAAGTACCTGGAATCCATTGTAGCTCTGCTGCTGAGTTCCAGGTCCGTTTCCCAAGGTTACCCCACAGTGTGAAGAATCAGAACTGGGGAGATACGTCCCTTAAAAAAGTATATACGCAGAGTGGCATTCAGTGTTTAGAAACGTCACAGAAGCTGAGAACCTGAATAGCTATTCTTAACTTAATAGGAGGGGACTCTGATTTGATCTGTTGGAATTTTAATAATAAATGTTTTCAGCATGAAATTAGCTTTCAATACTGACTTCTTGAGTTCTTTTGTTTTTCTTAGTTTTCATTTATTAATCTAAAACTTTTTTTGTTAGATTTTTGCCATAAGGTGTGTGTGCTCACTAGAGAGAGAGGGGGTAAATAAGAAATCACTCCTCAGGGGGATGGCCACACTGCTGTCCCTTCTTCATCATTCTCCTCTTCGGATTTCGGGCACACACACACACACACACACACACACACACACATGCCTGGTGTGGTTTTCAAGCCTCTGGATCTGAAGCTTATACCATGGTAGGCCATGTGGGAGTCTAGCACCTTAGCCACTATGCCAGCTGCTGGCCCCAATCTAAAACTTCTGGCACTATTTTTAGACACTATTGCTAGGTTGTGTAACTGTCTAGAATTTAATTTATAGCAAGAGAAATCTAAGCTATTTACCAGAATGACCTTTCTTCCTTTTTCTTGGGAACATTCTTACTGATACATTTCTGAACTTTAATCAAAATCTGTTGGAGATTTTATTCTGCCCTTTATGCTCTCACCATTTATATTTTATATTTCTAATATTTATTTATTTATTTATTTATTTGAGAGGTTTTGGCTATAAGTTGCATGCACTTGCCAGAAAGACAGAGAGAGAGAGAGAGACAGAAAGCAAGAAATCCCCCCCCAGGGGGAGTGGCCACACTGCAATCCCTTCTCCTCTCGGGATCTTGGGCACGCATGCACACACACCCGGCGTGAGTTTAAGCCACCGGGTCCTGGACTCGAACCGCAGTTGGCTACATGGGAGTTCAGTGACATAGCCTTTATGCTAACTACTGGTCCCATATTTCTAATATTTATTTACCTATCTATCTATTGTTTTTTTAAAACATTCATTTATTTGTTCTTACATTTTCCCACAAACATTTTCTTCTTTCTATTATTTATTTTTTCTTTTTTTGGAGAGGTTTTTTGCTATAGGGTGCATGCACTCACCAGAAAGACAGAGAGAGACAGAAAGCAAGAAATAACCCCCAGGGGGGATGGCCACACCACAATCCCTTCTCCTCCATTCTGCTCTCAGGATATTGGGCACGCACGCACGCTTGCCTAGCGGAATGTTAGGCCGCCAGGTCCAGGACTCGAACCATAGTCAACTACATGGGCGTCCAGCGACATAGCCATTATGCTAACTGCTGGTCCCCCACAAACATTTTCTTTACATATCAAAAAGTTTCTGTTCATACTCCATAGTTCTTGACAGTTAATAAACAACTTTCAAAATTTCAAGAATCTGAATTTAAAGATAATTATCAGAATATTTGTTATAATTTTGTTTGTGACTCTATAACAGAGATAGTATGGTTTTAAATATTTTTGAGGAAATATTTGCATGTCAACTATTCAAACCCTTGAAAAGCAAACACCCAGCACACAATTCACACATAAACCTTCTCAATTCGGCCCTGCCTACCAAGTATTCTGTGATATACCATCCGCCATCAAAGATCAATCTCTTTCTTCCTATAGTCTT